TGTTGCAAGATTGGAGTGAAATTAATTGCAATCAGTATCTAAGTGGGAGATTGTTATGATGGAAAGTTTCAATGTGGTTATCAATTGGTCACTCAAATTTGTTAGTTTCGCCGATAAAGCTTGACGGTGAGGTTGCTAGGGGATGCGGGGGGTGACCCCAGTGGCTGGGTTATGGTGCGCCGGGCACAATTTCAAGAAACTGAGCGATTGATAATGCAAAACTTGGAGATCAGCTCCCCATGTAGTGCTATTGTGCCCTATTCTAACACCCCGACGCCAATAATTGAATTCAATAGTTCGAGGCTTTAAGTTTCAACTTTGTTGCAGGAATTTATGTGTATTGCATTGGATTTATACTATTCTCTTATAAGGAAGAAGAGTGCTTTTTAGTTCCAAAAAATGTAGAGGTTGGAGTGTGGTGTAATTTTTATAATTCTCATTATTTTTTCATAGTGGATTTCTTAGTGTGGCACGCCTTCATATTTTTTTCCCTTTCTCGTATTTTTTCACGTTATTTGTGTTTTATGTGTTGTTTGATTTTGTATGCTTATGTCTAACATTTTGCTTCAGGTCGCTCAAATCGGTTTCCACAAAATATCTCACAACACGGTAAATACCCAAATTGCTGAACTCCAAACAAGCAATAGTACATTTGCTAGAAAATAAAGAAAAACAGACTAAATTATAGATGCCACAAAAGGCTGATCAGGAAAGGTCATCTACAATTAAAATCCCCAATGTGTTGATGTGAAAATTATCTAAAGAGAACCTCGCCAAAAGATTACATTCAAGGAATATATGAGAGTTCGACTATTAGGAAGCAGCTAACACCATATCTGAGCCCACGGGAAGCAATTCAATAAAAAACAAAAAAAACACCCATAGAGAGCCAATCAAACACCGCACAAGACCAAGGCATTAATACTAGAAGCAATAAACATGAATAAAGATCAAAGAAAAGTAGTGAAATTTGAATGATGAAATGAAAACAACAAAGTTGAAAAAACTTTTGCATGAGAACCGTCAAAGAACCACATGAAAGAGGCGGAGCAAGCAACCTGAGTAGAATAATCTAACATAAACAATTAGGAAAACGTTAATGATAATGATGGTGACAAATCTCAGCTCCAAAACATAGTGACTGGAGTAAAAAACATTAAATTTTTGTTAGAATCAAAGTTGATATACTTAACAATCAAGTGAAACCATAAAAACTGTATAGGAGAAGTATAAAGGTCTTAAACTTTATTTATAATTGAGCTCCAAAAACATTTGAAGTTAACCGTTCAACTAGATGTATAGAAATGACTGAAATGATCCTCACAGATAAAGTATAGACTGAAAAATAATGCGAAATATCAACGGATAAGAAATTAAATCAGATAGAAGAGAGAAGAATGATGACTGATGGAGGTCTAATTTACCTTGGTAGAAACAAGAGGAGCCCGGTCACCCATAATTCTAACATCCGGAAGGTAATTAAAATCAGAAGCAACAAGCGACATCTTCGGCAAAGCCCAATGTAGAACTTCAAGGAGTTGCTGCATGTTCAAGAACAAGTTCAAGAAAAGTAACTTTTTTTATGGGCATCTATCATTAATGTGTAAAAATAACTTTCTAACCAGGCAGCCAGTTGGCATCCAAGCTTTATGAGGCTTTGGAAATGCCTTTGACCAAATTTTCCTTGCGGCAGAAAAAAATCGGCTAGGCTGTATATTTCTCTCCTTATCCAAGCCAATAATATTAATACATTGAGCAATTAGTGTATCTTGTAATGGCTTAAAGGTCTCAGAAATTTGTAAGCTGTCACAAAAAGGCACAAATGAGTGAAACATCAAGAGATTGATTAGCTCATATAATATTTAAATAAAAGGATTCAAAAAGTTACTTTTATTGTTGATATTATCAAGTCTATTTACAAATTATGTAATTTCAGGAAGCATTTGAGTATTAATGTGCTTTACTTGGGAGCTCAATCTTTCCATTCACACCTACGTTCAAGACCTTGGCCAGTGATCCTCCTAGTGATTTTTAAATGGCCAAGATTTGGTTCACTCATGGAAGCATCCTGATTTGTTCCTTCAAGTTTCTATTTTTCTAATGGAAACCATAGACCATTTGTTGAGCACATATGGATAAGAAACTATGAAAGGTCATTTTCAGAAGCTATATGAAGATATGGGCATTACAAGAAGAACTCTTGGTCATTAATTAAATAGGGCACATTAAGGTTAAACAAAACTACCAATTATATCAAAGTTTAATGTCCATCCTTATTAGAAGTAAAGAAAGAATATTATTTTTCTCTTCTAAGATGAGGGGGAATCGAACAGAAAGTTCAAGTAAATAACAAAAGAACATATATGATGATGACTACATTAATGTAACTATGGGAAGATGGAAATCAACACTAGAGGTGCAAGTTTACAATGATAATTGCAATTATTGACCATAAATATTTCAAGCATTTTTTATGTATTCAGTGTTACAAACCTGTCTTCCGCTTTCTCAATCCAAGCCTCCGTCCATGGAGAAACTTGATCGGGGGAATAAACAAGATCATGTGGAAGATTATCAAGGACCTTCATCATTAAGCAATAGTCAAGACAAAATTGGTTAAAAGTAGAAAAACAAGTGTTAGTTTTTAGACATCAACATGAAAAATTGTTCTCTGTAATTACAGACACATCATTCTAGTCAATATTACGAATAAACCATGATTCATCTTTTACTTTTAGTGGCCTCATTTCAACGTGTTATACAGGCCTATTAATAAGTAAGAAAGCCATTCTACCACAACAAATAGCCTTATTTCTCTCACATATAATGACTTCCATATTTACTTGTCCATATCATTTTTATTCTCTTCTAATCCATGAGCATCAAATAACAAAGGTAAAACAACCCCTTAAAGAAAATTTTTAAAATCTTTCTGGATAACAACTCTCACATATAATGACTTCCATATTTACTTGTCCAAGATAAAAATATATCATTTTTATTCTCATCTAATCCAAGAGCATCAAATAACGAAGGTAAAACAACCCCTTAAAGAAAATTTTTGAAATCTTTCTGGATAACATCCTTTCCGATCATATAAATTAAATCGTAGAAGAAAATAACAGGAAGACCATGAGATGGCATTCTGTTGGTAAGAACAAATTCAGTCATATTAAATAGTAAGTGAACTTCCATCCAACAAGATCAATGATTTTATATGTTAGCACTGATTATATCATTTTGAAAATGCAGAATATTCCAAAATCTGTTTGAAGAGTGCCCTTTCAACAAAATAGAATAACGGATAACATATTTGAATTAACTGCATGTAACAAATAATGGAGCCTCCTAGCACGTGCCTTGAGCACGGAATCGGGATCGGTACCAATTCAGCCGTACCCAGGAGAATTCATCTTGAGGGGATGTTAATTTTGACACAAGACACATTTAACGTCCATTCTAGTGTTTAGAGATTATGCTTCGTCTATTCGGAGCCTCCCTTGGTCAAGGGTAATCAAAATCTCCCACGTGGGTTTTAGGAAAATTCGGGTTCGGATCGATCCACCGCGCGGGGGTCTACAACGCCTGCAGGCACAAAAAAACCCTAATTTAAAACCTCTAGAATGCTCATTTTTTAGTTACAAGGTCATATTTAAACGCCACATGATTTCCCGTGGCTTTCGGATCAGTAAAAAAATTTATACGGACATTTGGACGCAAAAGTAAGTTTTAGACCTTCAATGTCGTACCCAGCCCCCGGCAGCAATTTTCGCCCGATACGATGCATTCTTGATGTCCACTCGGGCATGGAGAAGTTTGTGTTCACTCCTCTATCTTCTGATGGTCTGAGGGCCCATAGAAATCCACTACGCAAACCCTGGCGAAGAAGAGAATGAAAGACCAAAAGTTGAAAATTTTGAAATTTTTTTAAGGGTTGGTGCACAGGTGCCAAGAGCCACTACGGGGCACAGTTCAAGGAAAAGGGGGCACACAGCAAGAGGGGGCACATATGCCCCCATGTTGGCGCTTAGGCGCCAAGGCATATGAAGGCGACTCCCTGGGGTAAACAAAGAACCCAATTTGACGTATAAGGGTCAAGATTTTCCTGGAGTCGCTCTCAGGGCAGTAAAGGGGGCACATATAAACCCCCCATTGGCGCATAGGCGCCCCGAACAAATGAGAGAAATAGAAAAACTACGTGCCCAAGCCGCTTTGTGTTGTTCAGTGTCGCTGAGTCACACCTAAGATACTCATATAAAGGAAACTTTTGCATGTTTTCTAGGGGGGGGCTTATGGAAGGGTTTAAGGCAAATCAAGGGATATCATATAAAGCGTTGCCATTTTCATGCAATTAAATGCTTCTGCAGACTGTGTAGAGCAGATGAATTGGCAAAGTCCAATGCATGCGAGAGGAGATTTTTTGGGGTCTCGATAGAGCAAGCAAAAGAG